GGATCTTCACGGGGATGAAAATGATAGTAAGGAATGATGTCCCTTTTACGAACAATGTGGAATTCCATCATAGAATATTTCTTAATGGAATGCGCATTCGGTGGTGCCTATCTGCTTGGTGAAGGGCTCTTCCTGCTCCAAGTTCCAGAAACATACCTATCTGAAAGGGAAGACTTAAGGGAATGTCCATACTGCCCCTGAAGATTCATGTACAAAAAATGTTGAACCATCATTTAATATAAAGTTCATAACTTTTAGAAACTTTCATAACAGAAATTAATTACGGTGCAGATGTAGATCAAAATATCCACTATATTGACGTCTTTGCAGCCACACATCTGCTCACAACCGAAATGATCGATAATTCTGCCACATATTTGATTTCGCCTCTTACGGCAAGCACATGTTTGATTTCCTTCAGTGTGTATGACATTTTCTTCCGAATTATGGTGCTATTGATATTTGCTGGATCTAATAAACAGACCTATTTACACTCGCATTTGCCCAAAACAATATTGTAGCAACGAATCGTTTTGGCGAGACTTCTGTAGAGATGGCTTGAAAGATTGGACAAAAAAGTTTACAAAATTGCGAGGACGATCTTCATTGAATTCAGGAATATTTATGAAATTAAAGACGAATACAAAGATATCACTCACCATATCGTCGTGGCCTTGCAAGTAGCTCCCAAAAAACTTAAAGAAGCCCTGTGTCCGACCCACGGTAAGACATTGTAGCTAGGGAGCGTGGTAGAATAGAGGGGGAACGAGAAAAAGATTGAGAGGGAACGCGATAGCATAACGAGGGAAGGCGACGATTATTGCGAGGGAAAGTGGCATTATAGCGAGGGAACACTACAGTATAGGGAACGAGATGAGTATATTTTCACCATGACAATTAGCAGTTTCCGCGTTGACACCAGGGACTTGGTCGACAAACCGACCTGAGCACCTGGCCTGAGCCTATGTTAGAGTATAGAATTTTCGATTGTTGTAGGCTGAGACTGCTCTGGGGGACAGGGCCGTCATTCTCTAAGGGGATGAGCGTGCCCAGCACTACCAGTCTGCAGCAGGTGCCCCTATGATCTGTATCATCAGCTGATAAAACACAGGTTACACACTAAAGGTTTCCTCTGCCACAAGATGACAAGATTTACCATTGTGTATACGTCACATACTGTCTAATGTACCACATGAGTAATTGTATGTTTCAGAAATCGATATAAGGATCGAAATAATTTCAGATTTGCGGGTCCGAATTGCGTCTAAATGTAACACCTGTTACATTGAGCTTTACCTCGCTTCATTGTGATTTGCAGATTTAACGCGGCTTGTTATCCTCGTTGACGCGACCCGTGAAGATCCGGGGTAGAATAGGTCTTCAGCAAGCAATGCTTGCCGTAAAAGGCGACTATGCTTGTCGTAAAAGGCGACGAACGGGATCGGGTGGTCAGGCTCGCTGACTTGGTTGATGCATGTCATCGATCCCAATTGCATGGATCGATGTTCATGATGTAAATCACTGGATTGTCAGGTCCAGACTCGATTATTTACAGACCGCCGTCATATAGCTGGAATATTGCTGAGTGCGGCGTAAAACAACAAACAAACCAAACCAAAATCCTCGTCGACGCCATCGACGATTAATATGATATGATATATGACATTGAACGACATTTGAACGTTTTTAACAAAGCATCCCATTTCTCATTGTTTACGTTTCAATCCATGATTTATTCCCAGCTCGATCAATATTGACAGAATGATATGTTACAGGTGAGTGAGTGAGTGAGTATGGTTTTACGCCGCTTTTAGCAATATTCCAGCAATATCACGGCGGGGGACACCAGAAATGGGCTTCACACATTGTCCCCATGTCGGGAATCGAACCCGGGTCTTCGGCGTGACGAGCGAACGCTTTAACCACGAGGCTACCCGACCACCCCTGATATATTACAGGTAAAGAACAGATTATTAGCCTATAGCTATTGGATTTCTCTAAGAGACGCCTACTGTTTTGGCTATTTGCCATGTGGTGAGCCGTTGCTCATCTATGGTCTTATTATGTCTTATATTATCAACATTTTTCTAAGTTTGTTTGTTGTTTAACGCCGCACTCAGCAGTATGTCTACTATATGACGGCGGTCTGTAAATAATCGAGTCTGGACCAGACAATCCAGTGATTGACATCATGAGCATCGCTCCACGCAACTGGGATACGGTGACATGCATCAACCAAGTCAGAGGCCTGACCACCCGATCCCATTAGTCGCCTCTTACGACAAGCATAGTCGCCTTTTACGACAAGCATGGGTTGATGAAGACCTATTCTACCCCGGATCTTCAAGGGTCGGATAAGATTGTGACTGTACCACATCAAGGTGTTACAGCAGTAAATCATTTCACGAGAACACAGGAGATGGAACAATTACTCCATCTTGCTATGCTAATATTAACCATACATTTATATCACCCACACATTATTGCAGCTCTCAAATATATAAATACTCAATCAAAACCTAAACAGTTCATAGTATGGTCTGATTGCCTTTCCCATCGTCAGGTATTTAGAATATCTCCTGCCAAAATCCACCTTTACAGGCAGTCATAGAATTTCATAACGATCTTGCCACTGGTCATCGTCTTTTGTTAGCCAGCCATGTTGGAATCGTTAGTGACACAGTTGCTGTTGCTGTTGCTGTTGCTAAACGCAGTACTCAACATATCTGTGACACCTTGTCTTATCCCTTACAGTGATAAATCGGTAAATAGAGAATCTCACCCGAGTGGATATCAAATATATCAACACGAGTTGATAAAAGTGGGAAAACTCCGAGGCTCGCCGAGGAATTTTTACACTTTTATCAACGAGTGTTGATATATTTGATATAAAAAAACACGAGGGTGAGATTTTATTTATCATCCAACATCATTCTTCCAACTTTTTCAGTTTGTAGACAGTAATTAGCAGTGTCTTAAGTGTAAAAAGTACTGCTTACAGCTTCAGTAGCAGAGCCATTAGTGATGTCAATTGATTGTGACGTCATGGTAACCAATGACGTAACAATGGTCTGCAAAGCATTGTGATGTAATTTCATTGCAGCGATCTACAGTGCAGATATCGCTTGATCTCACCCAAGCGATATCTCCTGTGGGAGCTAGTTTTGGACGATAATTAGATGTTACATCAGAGATCTTATCCAAAAGAAGTGGGAAACCAAGTAGGTATAAATACATTACATTAAATAACACCTACTTGGGTTGTCAGTCCAGGTTTGGAGAGGTCACAATACGACGAGGACAGTCAAGAAGGTATCAACAAATTACATGCAATAAAGCCAACTATCCAACTACTTTCCACCTACTTCAGTTGTCAGTCCAGGGCCCACTTGCACAAAGCGATCTTAACGCTACGACCATTGTAAGCCTATGTTAAAGTATGGGAGTTACGATGATCTTAGCACTAAGATCGCTTTGTGCAAGTGGGCCCAGATCTGTAGAGGTCATTATCCGACGATGTCGTATCGGCCATTCAGGATATACACATGACTATTTATTGAAAGGCGAGGATCCATTTTGTATCCCTTGTGATGAAAGAATCACCGTCAAGCATGTCCTGCTTGACTGTGTTGATTTTACCGTCACAAGGGATAAATATTTCTAATCATCATCTACTAACGATCTTTTTAATAGTATTTAATTCTCGTTTAATCAATAGTTTGTTAAAGGAAATAAAGTTGTTTGAAAATTTTGGTATGTTTTGAAAATATAAATGTTTTAAAATTGGTAGATTGAATTCGCAACTGAGATTTTTGTGACTGTATCATCGAAGGGGGTTAAAGTACTGTAAAAGTATTGTCCCCCCCGAGAGGGTACATAGGTTCCGCATCATTCAAAGTAAAAGTAGGCCTACCACATTTTTAATCGAAGTATATTCGTTAGTTTTAATTAATGGTTAAATTACTGTATTGTTTCCTCATAATTTATTCTTTAATATGTTCTCAACTAGTTTTTAAATTGAATCTGTGATATTCTAGTTACTGTACATGTACTGTCCATCGATGACAGGATTATATTTTTTAAATATATGTATTTTTAATGTATAATTTTGTCTCGTCACGATATTGCTGAAATATTGCCGATGTGACGTTAAAATTTTACTCACTCTCATAATACGACGATGTCGTATTGGCCATGCTAGATATACACAGTCATAAATATGTATTGAAAGGTGATGCTCTTCCATTTTGTACAGACCCGTGAAGATTCCGGGGTAGAATAGGTCTTCAGCAACCCATGCTTGCCGTAAAAGGTGACTATGCTTGTCGTAAAAGGCGACTAACGGAAACGGGTGGTCAGGCTCGCTGACTTGTTTGATGCCTGTCATCGATCCCAATTTGGTGGAGCGATGCTCATGATATCAATCATTGAATTGTTTGGTCCAGACTCGATTATTTACAGACCGCTGAGTGCGGCGTTAAACAACCAACCAACCAACCAACCATTTTGTACACTTTCTGTACACCTTGAGAGTATCCAAGTCACGCATGTCACCACAAGGGATAATCATTTCAAAGCATCATCATTAATGGATCGTTTTAGCAAAAAAACAAACATACAACATTCCAACATCAACATATATGAATATTAACACTTAAAGTACTGTGTATCAAAGTAAATCTATATACGTTTGACTAGATAAAAGACTAACCCCTTTTCACAAGGTAACATTTAGATTATTTCAAACGATAGTAGCATAGCACATTTGGAAATGAAAGCATTACAAAAAAAGTGTTTCGTAAAGTCGATGGTACAAAATGTTTTTTAGAAAAGTATTTGTCGATTTCTGTTTATATTCGAGAGTTCTATTTCAGTTAAGTTGCATCACCATCTCGTCTACATATACCGATATAAATAATGCTGATGACGTCACTCTATTGTTCCAACCGTTTATTATGTCCGACGAACAGTTTTAGCCAAACACAAGTAGCTTAAACCCCATGACGTTGACAGGTACAGTCCTTCGCAAAGACTTTATTATAGCATTATGTAGCTGCCTATTTGTTACTCCATAAAATGAACTAACGATTGTTTTTCAAATTCAATGCCTTTGTCATGCATAATGTATCATGGAATCTCCCCACTCAGACATTTCCCAACAACTCCCTATAAGTGAGGGACACACCATATGAACATTCATTTATTTTATGGATTAGTATATGTTTACATTTTGCTTGCTTGGAGGATGGAATAAAAGCATACAAATGTTTTTTTGTTAATAATAACTAGTGGAGGAGATTGGAAAAGATTGAACATTAGTGACAGAAGAGACGGATCTCACAGGGTAACATTCAACATACTCATTACCTTGTAATCCTGTGTATGTGTTTCTAAACAGTTTCAAAGAACTGACAAAAATGGAAATGAATTAAAAGTTTAAAATATGGGAAGAAATTAGCATTTTCATAAAAATATTCTCCGTTTAATAAACAACAGTTGTTATTTTAGTTCTCGGGAACTACACAGGAACTACCCAGGAACTACACAGGAACTACTCAGGAACTACACAGGAACTACACAGGAACTACTCAGGAACTACACAGGAACTACACAGGAACTACTCAGGAACTACACAGGAACTACTCAGGAACTACACAGGAACTACACATGAACTACTCAGGAACTACACAGGAACTACTCAGGAACTACACAGGATCTACACAGGAACTACACAGGAACTACTCAGGAACTACTCAGGAACTACACAGGAACTACACAGGAACTACTCAGGAACTACACAGGAGCTACACAGGAACTACACAGGAACTACTCAGGAACTACACAGGAACTACTCAGGAACTACACAGGAACTACACAGGAACTTCTCAGGAACTACACAGGAACTACACAGGAACTACTCGGGAACTACACAGGAACTACACAGGAACTACACAGGAACTACACAGGAACTACTCAGGAGCTACACAGAATCTACACAGGAACTACTCAGGAACTACCCAGGAACTACACAGGAACTACACAGGAACTACTCAGGAACTACACAGGAACTACACAGGAACTACTCAGGAACTACACAGGAACTACACAGGAACTACTCAGTAACTACACAGGATCTACACAGGAACTACTCAGGAACTACACAGGAACTACACAGGAACTACTCAGGAACTACACAGGAACTACACAGGATCTACTCAGTAACTACACAGGATCTACACAGGAACTACTCAGGAACTACCCAGGAACTACTCAGTAACTACACAGGAACTACACAGGAACTACTCAGGAACTACACAGGAACTACACAGGAACTACACAGGAACTACTCAGGAACTACACAGGAACTACACAGGATCTACACAGGAACTACTCAGGAACTACACAGGAACTACACAGAATGCGCGCATGATTTCAAGTTCTTCGTCAAAGAATCCCTCAGAAATAATTTTTTGATTTTACATTTGTCTTGCATCTAAAGATATACCAAACACACAGTTACATGTGTTCAATCATTCTGCATAATTCTGCATGTCCCGGTGTGCTTTAAATTGCATCTGAAATATATGTAATATATGGGGAAATATGTGTTAACCATTACGCAACGAGTTCACAATTATTTTAGCTATGCCCGTTTGCGCTAAGACGGAACCCAGTCGCAAAAATGTCAATGAGGGGGGCATGAGTTGCTATTCGGCTTGTCCCGGAATAACACGAGTTGGTCACGAATGGAAAGCTGTTAAGTACAATCAGTCCCCGATTAAGGGATTAAAAGCTCATTCAATTTCTTCATCATTACCTTCTGTACAATTATGTATGCAATATTATGTTACTTAACTAACCTAATTGATAATGTCAGTGACTGACTGCAAACGGCATGTTTTGGTGCAACCCAATCAGTGTTCCAACTCGGATGTATCATACAACACTTTAATGTTTCACCCTCGTGATCTCACGTGAAAAAATTTCAGGGCACAACCATCAGCTAATACACAACACGTCCTGCTTGGGGTAATTATTTCAAAGCGCAGCATTAATAGCTCTTTTTAGAACAATAACAAACAATCACTTAATCGTTGTTTTTAAAAAAAGAAATTGAAGTTGTTCACAATTTTTTATTGAAATGTTTTGTATAAGTTAAAGGACTTGGTAGATATTAAATTGGTAGAATAAATTTGTAACTAAGATTGTCGTGGTTGTTCCTGCGAAGTGCGATAAAGTACCGTAAAACAATTGTTTCCCTGATAGTGTACATGAGTCCACATCATTCAAGCTATTTTTATTGCTACCACATTTTTAATCGTGGTATATTTGTACATCACATATTAATTGTTGACTAAACGTCTTATCAGTCAGCTCAGCAATAGACGAGACGTAAGCCCTAACAGGGTACCATGTAAGTATTGTAAGTCTCCATAGTCTCTCGTAAGGTGGTCTCTTCTGAGATGCTGGCTATTTATTGTCTACAGCCTGAGTTTAATGCTGTGTCGTTGATTACTGCCCTCTGGTGGCGGACTTTTAGAAAACAACTGTATCACTTTGCCTAGTCAAAATGTTGCTGAAATTTTGTCAACGTGACTTTTTTAAACTCACTCACTCACTCACTCAACACAATATTTATGTTCGATGGTTTCACCGAAGAGATAAACGTCCAGCTGCTTGACAGCTAATAATCAGGACGAATCTGGGATTCGAACCGCGATCAGCAGATCCTGGAACGGCCAAATAATACAACACTCCAGTGCGAGATGCCTCTCTGTAGGCCACAGGGCTGTCGGGTCTATCAACTTCTCCTGTTTCCCCAGCTGGAATAACGCTATGCATATGCCTTGTCATTTCGATTGCCAATATCAGCTCGTCAGGATAAGTATATACTGATACTTTAGTAAAGGTAGAGCAGGAGGACAAGGTGTCTCATCGTGGAAATGGCTGTGTTAAAGTCAGAGACGATTAGACACAGGGGTCGTGTGCTCTAACCTATTTGACTAAATTGCAACTGGTCTGTGGCATTTGATGGACTAACTGGCTGATTTTCTGATAAAAGAGTGTACAGAGTTGGTTTTGCATTATTGCGCTGATCGATGTGCTTGGTGTAGTGGATAGAGCGTCTGCCGATGGTCGGTGGTTCTCGGAAACGCCTCGAAAGGCTTCAAAAGATTGCGCTTGTTGTTACCCTGCCTGGCCCTGACATAAAGAGGATAAAACAAGGACTAGACGGCTATCCACAAAACAAATTGCGGTAAATTAATACCTAGTGTTTGTTCAGACGTCGGTACAGGGGCACAGGTGGCCCAGTCGTCTAAGGCGCCGCGATTCGCTGTGCAGAGTTGCGTCCCTTGGGCACGCCAGAAACCTATGATTGTTGGTTCGAATCCCAGTTCGCCCCGATTAATTTTATAGGTTTGTCAGCACCATACCCGTGATCGTGGGTTTCACGGAAGTGGTAAACGTCTGAGACCTGCATCACTTCGGGCTTTCTTCCCACATTAAGCTGACACGCCGCGAAATAACTGGAATACTGTTAAAAGCGGCGTTAAACCCAACTCACTCACTCACCCAGACGTCGATACACTCACAGGGCTCCGACTCCCTATCTTCCCCTGTGTTAAGGTGCAGGTCAACGATATGATACAACTGAAATACGATTTACCCTCGTGGGGATTCCGGGTTAGAATTGGACCGCAGCAACCTAATGGATCGCAAGGTCAGTCTGAGTGGCTTGGTTGATTGCGTTTAATCCGGATGCAATGCTTGACATTGCGCTCCGTTCGGTCATCAGGCGACATATGACTCCAACAGGACAAAATGGCGTCTGTCAAACACACCGTTCAGTATATCATGGTGACATCTCGATAAGTGTACGCAATCTATATCATCCATTTACTAGCTTGTTCACGACCCAGAATCCACCCAAGTGTCGTGAAGGCGGGTTGCGATGTCAGGTCAGCTTCAGACTCAAGGCCTTTTTGTCACGATAACGTCTTGCTTCGCGTGATTAGCGACAGTTAGAATCGCCAGATCGCTCCCGAACCAGACTATGAATGTTCATTGCCGCCTTTAAGATATAGAGTGTTGGGATAGGTACATATATTCTAACGCGAGTTACGGTGACGTTGGAACAACTCCACATACCTATACATATATCATATTTTTTTTGGCCAAATTGACGTTGGGCGATGTCCTAAGGTATGTCCCCATGCACTTTCCATTACTTGATGAAATGTAAACTGTTTTGTTTCATAACTAGACATCAAGTTACACAATCATCACGATATATACGAAAGCGATGCAACTAAAATCCGTGGATCCTGGCAACCTGAAAGGGGCGTAACTCTGTTACACGAAATCCCGGGTTCAGCAATTCAATAAAGCGTACTCATTAATATGTCGCTGTGTCAGTGAGATGTATACTTCTAGTGTGTAATTTGATTTTCCTTTCCCAGACATTATTTCGTTATTTATTTACAATCATTTATAATTATTGAATGATTTCACTTTCTTTTTGTGTTTCCTTCAGAAGAAGCAGACTGGTTTAAAACGTCAGTTTTTGTAAACTGTTTTCATATGTGATCAAAATGTTTTCTGTTCATGACTGACCTTGTTATCTTGTAATATCTTTTGAACTACAAATTGCTATTGTCACTCATAATTTCTTAACTTCTTGATACTTGGTCGTAGGCGAGTCAGTACTTTGCATCAATCTTGTGAATAAAATTGTCAGATGTTAATTCATATGCCAAAAAGGTACTATATTCTGCAAACCACTTTGGTACGTTTCCATTGATTTATTGATAATGTCTGATAACACTTACAAAGTTACCATTATTATCTACGTCTATATATATATATATGACGCAGTGATGTGAAAACCCATTACGATCGGAAGTGTATATTCTAATGCTTGGACCAATAATATATATATATATACTGGAGCAAGGGAACGAATGTAAACAATAACATATGGTACGTTGTGTTTAAAATGTGACATGTGTTTGATAGGAGTTTGTGTTTTACTGGTGATGTGTGTTTGATAGGAGTTTATATTTTTTTAAGGTGGTGTGCGTTTGATAGGTGTGTGTGTGTGTGTGTGTGTGTGTGTGTGTGTGTGTGTGTGTGTGTGTGTGTGTGTGTGTGTGTGTGTGTGTGTGTGTTTAAAATGTGGTGTGTGTATGATAGGAGTGTATTTTTTAAGGTGGTGTGTGTTTGCTAGGATAGTCTGTTTAAAAGGTGGTGTGCGTTTAATTAACGTTTATGTTTTTAAGGTAATGTGTGTTTGATAGGAATTTGTGTTTAAAAGGTGGCGTGTGTTTAAAAAGAGTTTATATTTTTAAGGTGGTGTGTGTTTGATAGAAGATTATGTTTAAAAGGTGGTGTGTGTTTGATAGCAGGTTGTGTTTAAAAAGTGGTGTGTGTTTGATAGCAGGTTGTGTTTAAAAGGTGGTGTGTGTTTGATAGCAGGTTGTGTTTAAAAGGTGGTGTGTGTTTGAAAGAAGATTATGTTTAAAAGGTGGTGTGTGTTTGATAGAAGATTATGTTTAAAGGATGGTGTGTGTTTGATAGCAGGTTGTGTTTGATGTATGTTTGAAAGGAGACTCTGTTTAAATGATGACATGTGCTTGACAGGAGGTTGTGTGTAAAAAGTTGCGAACGTTTTGACAGGGGGCTGTGTTTAAAAGATTACATGTGGTTAAAGGTGACTGTGTCTTAAAGGTGTTATGTGCTTAACAAGAGATTGTGTTTAAAAGATGACATGTGCTTGAGAGAAGACTGTGTTAAAAAGGTGGCATGTGCTTGACAGGAGGTTGTGTTTAAAAGGTGGCATGTGCTTGACAGGAGGTTGTATTTAAAAGGTGGCGTATTCTTGACAGTAGACTGTGTTTAAAAGGTAACGTGTTTGATAGGAAATTGTTTAGGCAAGGTAGAGTGTGTCATGGCGGGTGACACCGTTAGGGCATGGCATGCTTTCCCTTTTCGCAAACATCTCGTGTTATCACTGAATTTCAGTGATCCATTCATATAATATCCTCTGCTAATTTGTCTTTTACGCCAGATGGAATCTGTTTCGACGGATAATCGAGACTGGTTATTCTCTTGCCTTGACGTTTTTTTATTTGACAGGACATTTCGTATAAAAATTAACAAGTGTGAAAGATTTCGTAAAAATAACTCTACGTATTAAAGAGATATCGTATTAAAGGTGGGGCGGTCGGGTAGCCTAGTGGTTAAAGCGTTAGCTCGTCACGCCGAAGACCCGGGTTCGATTCCCGACAAGGGTACAATGTGTGAAGCCCAGTTTTGGCGTTGTCCCCCGCCGTGATATTGCTGGAATATTGCTAAAAGCGGCGTAAAACCGAACTCACTCACTCACTCGTAATAAAGGTAGCATGTGTTTGTCGGGAGATTTCGAGCAAAACCAGATAAATCAATTCCACTCACTGGCTCATGTTTTCTACGAGTTATTAATTTTGAACGCTACAGTAAATAATTCTCTGTTATACACATGTAATTTAAGTCAGCAGAGTGCGTGCTTGGAGCAAGACTTCCTGCACATTTCTTTTTTAAGTTCCGATAACAAGTCAAGTCGTAAGGAACATTATGACCATATTTGTTTCAATCAGGTTCTCGATGTAGCTGGAAAGAACATCAAAAGTGCAGTGATTAGGGTAATTATGTGGATTAATAGCTTCTTTGAGTTATCAATTCTGAGAGTTATTGTCATCAGACGATATCCGTCAGTGACCTGATCATTTTGTGTTGGCGTTAGTTAGTGTTATTACATTCGTTGAAATAGGTTTCCCGAAGGCTTAATACCATGTGATGTTTATTCTGTAGTAAGACGTTAAATAGACTGCAGCTTTTCAATGAATAATAGCTGAAGTGTCTTATATTTATAATATATAATTACCACTAGCCTTTCTTAAGAACATATCAGGTTCTGTCATTGAAGGTTTGCACATGAATACTTATTATGACTTCAGAGGCTTCGATCTGATTCTACCGATGTTTCTGGCTTTGTTTGTGTTCAGTATTCACGTTTTCCGTATACTTTGATCTTTATTTTGTATTCTAGGAAGCCATCACCTGAAACGGGGATCTAACAAAAACAAGGGGTTTTCGCTGTATTGTCAAGGCAATATTTAGATTTAACGTCTTTAGAAAATATGTCTCTGTGCCAGGCAACAAACACTTACCTTTTATACAAATTGTGTGAGTAGCGGGTTCTACCGGTAGGGCAGGACAGGCTTACTCTTTAGGATAATACCCTGTGGTTACGGGGGATCTTACAAATACAAGGGTTTTTCGCTGTATTGTCAAGGCAATATTTAGATTCATCGTCTTTAGAAGATATATATTCTGTGCCAGGCAACAAACACTTACCTTTTATACAAATTGTGTGAGGAGCGGGTTCTACCGGTAGGGCAGGACAGGCTTACTCTTTTGGATAACACCCTGTGTTGTCATGGTTGATTTTCAGTGATCCATTCATATACCGCATCTTGTATATGACCCACGGGAGGTCGGTGGTTGATCATCGGCGCTTCCACCAATACACGTAAAGAGATTACTTCTTCTTATCCTGCCTGGCGCTCGGCATTAAGGAGGTAAAAGAAGGACTGGTGAGCTCGGAGTCAGTATAATGTGTCTGAATTGGTTATCTGACACTATGAAATTGGCTTCAGTCCGGACTAGTACAAGAAGATACATGCCCGTCTCTATATAAAGTCACCGTGTGATGATCTTGAACGCGACATTAAACCCCATTGTCCCGCTACTACTACTACTACTACTACTACTACTACTACTACTACTACTACTACTACTACTACTATAACTGACCCGTGAAGGTCCTGGGGGGAATAGGTCTTCAACCCACGCTTGTCGTAAAAGACGACTAAACCAACAAACCACCACCACCAACAAGAACAACAACTACTACTACTACTACTACTATTGCTGTTGCTGCTATTATACCCACTGCACCTACTACTACTACTACTACTACTACTACTACTACTACTACTACTACTACTACTGCTACAAAATATTATGGAAATCGGCAAAGAGTTTCAAGGAAAACGGGCAGCTTTGAATGAAACACTTTTCTGTTAGTTGATTTCTCCCCAATCAGCAATATTCCAGCTCTATCACGGGGTCTTTTAATAATGGTGTTGGCCAGACATACCATTGCTTGGTATTATGAGTAAATCCGACGCCGTCCGGATACGATACGCATACACGCCATTATCCATTAACCGAGATTGACCGCCCAGTCCTAACGAGACGGTTCAGTATTCTGATGACCTATTCCAAACTTGTACCAACGGCGATCTTTGACCAGCACGGTCGGACTCATGTAATTAAGATCATCGGAGTCACTCAGGTTTTATGTGAGTAGCTTGTGATGCCCTCTCATTATCGCATCTCATTATTGCCGGTAGTACTAGTGAGTGTGTGAGTTGGGTTTAACGCCGCTTTTAACAGTATTCCAGTTACATCACGGCGTGTCAGCTTAATGTGGGAGGAAAGCCCGAAGTGATGCAGGTCTCAGACGTTTACCACTTCGGTGAAACCCACGAGCACGGGTATGGTGCTGACAAACCTAGAAACATAATCGGGGCGAACCGGGATCATAGGTTTCTGGCGTGCCCAAGGGACGCAACTCTGCACAGCGAATCGCGTCGCCTTAGACGACTGGGCCACCCGTGCCCCCGCCGGTAGTACTAACTGACACTGGTGTGTTTCAAATACGATTCATCACATGGTCTAAAAAGCGTCTTGACTATTGTTCTGTGCTGCCTAAAAAAAACAGACAATTAAATACCAAGTTTCCCGTGCTCACTTAATTCCGCGTTGATTTGCTAGTGTTACAGTCATCGGTTCCGTCTGTTCTCTATGAGGAAGCATGCCATTAATCTTAACTGTCTTATCCCCGCCACAGAGATTGCAATGGGTTGTTCTCACCAGTCTCAAGTGTAAGCAATATACTTGTGTGGACGAAGGTGAATGTATTACTTGCTCAAATGATCTACAGTAAACTACGTTTATAACGAACACGTTTGTAACGAACTGACGGATGTAACGAACTTACTTTTTGTCCCGAATATTTGCTCTGGTTATTCTGTATATATGCATATAACGAAATACGGCTACAACGAACTAAAATTAGTGGTCCCTTTGAGTTCGTTATAACCGTAGTTTACTGTATTTTCATTTTTCAAAGACGAAAGACACAGTGATCCATTACTATTGTCGTTAATCCACATAAATATATACAAGAAAATGCTTCTCAGTTGTAAAATAGAACGTTGTTGTTTATAACACAGGCCAAAACACCCACCGTTATTTGTTCTGATGAAACATCGGATAAGAAATATAATAACACGTCCCATTTTAATTCTGGAAACCCAAAAGTCCAGAAACTCTACGGTCTTTGCCCAGTCTCGGTTAAAGGTATTTACAAAATTAAACATGCCGTTTTCATGGGAACATACCAAGGAAGAAAAAATGAAAAAAAAATTGTTTAAAAACTCAATATTTAGACTATGTCGCCCA